ATTTTTTATATAGAAATTTATAAAATAAAATTTAAAATCATAAATCTTAATGTTTTAAATTATTCTTTTAAACTGAAACAACTATTTTTCTTTGTATATATATTTTATTGCAATAATATTAAAACTGGCTAATTTCTTAATACTATATAAAAAATAAACATAATTTTATTTCAAAAAAATAACAAGAAAAATAATATAAAAAGAAAATGTATCCCAAAAAGGAAACATAATTATCACAAAAAACTGAGTATATATTACATTATAATACAATTAAAATGATCTGAAAATGCATTTATTAAATTTATATTTAAATTAAAATTTTTTATACAATCCATAAAGGATATTTTCCTGTTACTAAGTATTCTTTTATTGTTTAATATTTATCTGTTGCTTGATATAAATTTATAATTATAAATTTAAATGTACCAATTTGACTCATTAATTTTAGATTTTATTCATAAAAGTTTGGTTCGGTCATAAATTATCAATACGGATTTTAGATATTGATTTTACAATACTACGCCGGCTCTGGAATATTCACCCTTTCATACTTTTTTTTTTAAAAAATATACCCAAATATTTTATATTACCTATAAAAATTAAAATTCTAAAAAATCCGGACTCGTGCTGGGTCTGAAAATATAAAATCCGGGCCGGACTATTCAAATGGTATCTTTGCAGGTCTCATTTAAATACATATAATATTTAAAAGATTTTAGCTTAAATATATTATAAATATTTATTACTAAGTGTTAAATAGATTAATGATTAAAATGCATCATATCTACTAAACATGAACTCGGCCCAACATAAAATTTTGCACATTTATTATGTAGTTCTATATATCCATATGTAAAAAAAATTTGAGAAAAAAAAATACCGATTTAGTTTTATGACCATTTCCGGTGTTCTATTTTCAGTTCTTGGCATTAAAATTTTTAAGAAAATATTTAACATTATATAACTTAAAGGCCTACCATTAGGCTATATAAAGAAATTTAAATGACGCTTCTAACCCAATTATAGCTAAAGATATTTAAAATTAAGAGCGGGCATTTTGCCTAAAATATCCCATTTTTGATCTTTAGAGATCCATATCTCAGTCGCGGTTTGGAATTAGATGCTAAATTTAGTAAAAATTTTAAAAAAATCAGAGGAAGGTGGGTTGAACTCATTTTGATTTGAATTCACCATTTATTTTTACAAATTTTCAATAAAAATAGCAAAAAGTACATAACTATTTGTTTTATTTCAAAAATACTGGCCCTCCTAAATCCCCTCTCCCACCAACTGGAAATATGGCTCTGGACCTGTCCTTACTGGAAGTGGAAAAATGTTGAAAATAAAATTTATGGTAGGAAGATTTTTTTTACTGGCCTTGATTTGATATTGATACTCATATAGAACTATTATGCTAAAAAATTAAGCAAAACCCCCTAAGGCTTGAATTCCCCCAGCAAAAATGTGTATCAATATGGTAAATTAAATACAAACATTTAATCTATATTCACTTAAAAAGAAGGTAATTTTAGTATTTCCTCGAAAAAAATTCTGGAAAAATTTTTTATAGGCAAAATTATTTTGAATTTTTTTAAAAAAATTATTGAAAATCCTTAGATTTCAGTATTTTTAAGCCTGATCAAGTATAGAAAAAAATTCTAAGCTTTTTAATTTTTAACCCGAGCATAGTCGATCATGTTAAATTTAGAATATGAATTTATTTCGCATAGTAAATTTAAAATGTCTAATTTATAATATTTTCTAAAATTTACTCTTAATTGTATTAAGCGCCCTTTTTAATTTCGAAATTTATGTGAAAGGTGGCAGTGATTATAAATTTATCAGGATTAAAATTAAATTCAAATGTCCCTTCATATTTATGAGCAGAGTTGTTAAAAGATACTTTTTAAATGGATCTAAAATATCAAGATACAGATATTTTAATCAAAAATCTATCTAGATACAGATATCACATTTTTATATCTAGATCCTTTAACAACTCTGCTATGAGTTATGACCATGAGTGATAAAAACCAGGAAGAGATTGCTAAGTTATTTTTTCACATCATAAATAGGTCACATTTAAGCCAATTATTATTCAATATCCACTAAATAAAGAAATAAATACCCGCAAAACATCATGCGTTATAATTTAAGTACCTATTCTAGCAATATAAGTTGTTTTTTATTTAGTGCATATGCAATGTATTCAGTATTTATGGTAATCCCATCGTGATAATGACTTCCCTCAGATAAACTCACGATAAAAGTTTCGCCGCTTTAAATTCGCTATAGAAGTTTTATAATGTATTCTTTCAAAAGTTTTTGCCGTTCAGGTTTCGCGTAAATAATTTCGCAAAGGGGAAGTGTTTCGCGAGAAAAGTCTCGCTGAATTGACCTTATAGGAAATTTTTATGCCAGGCTTGCCACGATTTGATAATTTTTCCTATTTAGAGATTACTTCAAATTATATTGTAGATTCAATCTATAAGAATATCTATTTAAAGAATTTAAAAATATCGAAAATATGATGTTATGAAAAAAACGGTAAAAAGAATAATTAAAAGGGTGGACATATCATGGAAAGGACGTGTATTATAACACCCTGAAAAGGAAACCGGCGTTAAAGCTTATATATTTGGCTCTTAGACTTCACGATATAAAAAGAGGCAGCAATATTTATAAGCCCCCCCCCCCCCTTCATTTTAAATTACATATTTATAGTAATATAAAAAATCATCTTTATTTATTACATAATTAAAATAAAATATAATCAAAAAAATGTTTTAAAAAAAATAAGGTTTTAGCTAATAGATATATAAACAAATTAAAATATTTAGGGGTCCTTTAAACTCAAATAATAAACAAAAGTTTACGAATTTAACCTTACCTGTCCACTGTACAGACAATGTAAAATGCGTACACCTTTATTAATGGATTATTTCGATAAATTAATGGAAGAAAAAATGAAAACACATTTATAACATAATCAATAGCGAATTCTGTAAATAATGTTTTTTTCCATTGATAAAATTCTTAAATTATTTATGAATATGTTTTTCATCGTGCCTCGAAGTCGAGATGTAATCAACTAGATTTTGCTAATTACTCTTATTCATTAATAATAATGTTATCACCTTTAGAAGGTGCATTTAGAAAAATTAATTATTTTATTTATCAATTTCATGATTATCATAAAAATAAAATACTATATTTTCTTCTAAAACAACTTCTTTAGGAGACCTTAACAAACAAAATGAATCATTAAAAATATTTATTATACTATTAATTCCTTTTTTATACTTTTTTTTTAAATTGTGTTTTATCTCGTTATAATTGAGACTTTTATGTTTATATGGTCTGTTCATTTATCGTCCCTTATATTTTGGGATGCTTTAAATTTTTTGCTTATCATTTATGGGCTTTATTTGAAATTAAAAGGAAATGAGGATTAAGGGTAAAATGGATTTAAAATATTGAATAAATGGATGTATCCCCAAACCATGAAATATCCAAACTCTCTCTTTCTAATGGATCCCTGTTCTTATGGTCCTATATTTATATAATAATTTTTTGATAAATAATAAAGTGACGGGATTTTTTATTAATTGGTAAAACAATAAATGAATTAAAAAAATTTTTTGTAAAAATATAAATTTTAAAATTTTTTCAACGACATGTATTATCTTTAGCTAAAGTTTTATTTAAATATAATATTGATATGTCAACTGATGATTTAATCATAATTATATACTTATCAAATGTTATATTTATTTTGTAGTGATTAAAAATCAGTATAAATATCGGATCTGTTTTGAAGCAATATCGGATCGGCACAGCCCTAATTATCTTTAGCCAAAGTTTTATTTAAATATGATATTGATATGTCAACTGATGATTTAATCGTAATTATATACTTATCAAATGTTATATTTATTTTGTAACGTACTTTTTTTTGAAAAAAAATTAAACTTAAATAACTGAAACCTTTAAAATACAATACTAGATTACTTTTTTTAGATAGAATATTTATACATCGCTACACCTTTTCTATTTATTATTTATATTTTGCCCAGTTCAGCCCGAAATATTAATTGATAATCCAGAAAATTTTTATCTGTATCTTAATAGAAAAAATCATTTTATATTTTATTTTTATAATTTTTAACTCTTGACTCGGCTGATTTAAACAAAATTTAAAAAAGTGATTTGAAACCCTACTTCGGGCGATTTATAGGATTCTACAGGTTAAAATGGACCGTAATCCTAAAAATTATACCAAAACGGCTATGAAAAATTAAAATCGGCCGAGCTCGGGATTGAAAATTATTTTAAAAAAATCTAATAATGTTTTCTCTTAACGGAATATTATAATAATAAGAATTTCTCTCTAACGTCATAAAATTTTTTATAAATGAATAATTTCGAGCCAAGATCGGGCTTCAAAATTTAAAAAATATAGGGCAAAATTGGTTCTGATTTTTTTTCTAAGAGGTCACAGTGGGAAGATAAAATTGCTATCTTCACTTCGTTCGATGTGAAATCGGTGTTACAATGGAAGTATGTTTGTGGTTTGATCATGATAAAGTAGATGTGTGGTGTTTAGAACCTAATCAGATATAAATGTTTGTGGGCTCGGCGGTGAATCATAATCAGTGTTCGTCTAGTTAAAATTCAATATGATTATTTTTATATTTCTAATTAATTTGTTTTTTTGACTTACGATTCGATTTGGATTTATTTTTGTACATAACAAATTTAAACATGGATCTTTACTTATAATATTAAATGGACATATTTTGAATTCGTTTAGTATTGGAGGGGAGTAACCTAACTGCCCTATTTCTGAAATTTTTGAGTTATTATTCAAAATATATTATACATTTAAATATTACTATAAGAAAAAGCAACTATATGAAACGAAAGAAATATTTAAATTTTTATTTAGGTTTTATTTTCAATTTTTATTTAATATAAATAATCAAAAAAATTAAATCAAGACAATTTGAGTAAAGATTTTGAAGTTATGAATGCTTTGGAGAGCACTGTGGAAAAATTGGAGAAACAACTCAAGATAAGGGACGACGAAATACAAAAGAAATTGTCTGAAAGTGAAACTGTAATTGTTAATTTAATGAAATCTCGCTATAATGCTCATTGGGGTATTAATTTATTTACTAGTGACAAATATTTACTATATGGGCGCTAGCGAGATTTACTAAATAAATCATATCAATCTTTTTTATAACTATAAAAAAAGAAGGGTTGGGCAAAATGCTCAATTCGAATACAGATACTTTTCAAATTTTTATACCTTACAAGACTTTATTCAAAATTTTAAAAAGATACATGATTGGATATGTTGTGTCTTTTTTCAAAAAAATATCTAAGTTACAGGATAATTTAAAAATAAAATACAATGTATACAAAATGTTATAAACCTTGTTTTTTTTTATAAAATTTTATCATATAAAAATTATGTATAAATTCTGGTAAAAAATGAACAAAACCAAATTTAATGCAAAATATTATTTATATTTGTAAAAATTTTAAGTTTTAATAATTAGGTCCTGTTCGATTCACCGTTTCTTTCATTTATCCGATCCGATATTTGAAATAATTTCTAAAAACCACTACGATTCAATATTTTAATTAAAAAATTGCTTGGTTATTATTTTAATAATTTTATAAAATTAAACAACTTATTCCAAAAAACATACAGTAAACTAAATATTTTTATTTTATCTTTTATGTTTCTATCTAACACAAAAAAGAACAAGTAATACGTGTTGCCCAAAATCTAAAAAGGATATTGAACGTTTTGGCCAAAATCACTATAATATAAAAAATATTAGCAAAATCGCTAAAATGTAAAAAAATAATTTTGTTCATAAAAATATTTGAACAATTTCTAGAAAAAAAAATATAAAAAAATAAATATTATTGTTGATAGTTAGATAATTGAACATCATTAATTAATAAATAAATATATTATTACCTTTAGAATCCTCATTAAATTTGCATCGACACATACTATTTATGTTTAAAAATTAATTTTTATTTGATTTATTAAAAATAATTTTGTAAATTTTTTAAAAAAATATATAAATTTAAATATATTCGGAATCACCATCAAATTTGCAGTTTAATGATGTATATATCGATATATAATGTCTATATATAAAAAATATATAAATTTCTGTTTTCATAAAATTTTACAAAATTTTTTTTAATTAATATCAAAATATACATCATTAAACTGCAAATTTGATGTTTTTTAGATTTTGGTGTATAATCGATATATATATAATATTTTTATTTTTAACTTTAATTGCCATTTTAAAATAAATAAAATAATATAAATATAATAATTTATAGGGATAAAATGAGACAATTTACAAATAAAAAAACAAAGGTTACAAATAGTTTATAAATTTAATTAACACAAATTGCAATAAATCGTTTTACTTTTTCCTGTATCGTTCATAAGTGTTTTTTGACTTTCAAGGGTAATCGTCACAGTGTTGTTTATCTTCCTATTACCAATTGGTCGGTCATCGCATCGTTGATATTTAGTGCTATAAACATTTTCTAAAAAAATCGAATGCGTTAAACGTTCATCGACAAAAATCGAACTATGTTGAACGTTCACCTTCAAAAAAAGGAACGCGTTCACGTTCTTTTAAAACTTTATGTAATAATTTTTTTTAAATTAAATTTAATATCTTCTTCCTTCTCTTTTTATGGCGATTTTCAGATTAACCCAGGTAGGCCAGTTTTCCCTCTAATTTTTTTTCCATATTTGACGGTCCTGAGCATCAATATTTGTAAGATTCATGCTTCTCATATCCGCCCCTATCACATTTGTCCACGTCATCTTGAGCCTTCCTCTAGATCTTGATCCTCCTACTTCCATCAAGGTGAATCTCTATACCCAGTCATCTTTTGTCATACGTTCCACAAGCCCAACCATCTTAGTCTATTTCTTCGCATTACCACTCCAATCATTTCTATACCCAATCTTGCTCGCAATTCCTTGCTAGTCTTTCTTTCTCTCAGAGATACCACACACATCCATCTAATCATCATCTCTGTTCTTTCTAATTTGGCTTCTTGAGTCGCTTTCATTGCCTATGTTTCGCCGCCGTAAACTAAACAACTCTTCACACAACTTAGCAGACTTTCCCCTTTAACTTCAGAGACTTTTTATTTTTTAGATTAGACGACATCTCTCTAAACTTCTTCCATGTTTGTTTGACCCTTGCAACAACGGCAGAATCTACACCACCATCTGCGTTGAGCATGTCACCTTCAATTACATACCTTCTCAGTTGTCCTCCCCCAGGCTTTCTTTATGGCTTCCCACTTGCCATTTACCCCAGATGCTTGTAACACCTCCGCCTCTCTTATCGCCATGTCATATTGAATTAACATCGGGCCCTCCCCTCATTCAATTTTCAAACCTTCAGCATTGGCACAAATTTTCTTTTATTAATCCTGGCGCTTTTAAAGGTGAGATCTTCTATCGTTGCTGATCAATACATTGTTCCCTCGGTATCACTTTCACATTTTTTACTATGCTCCTATCATATCTCCTCACTAACTAATAATCCATTGCACTTTTAGCACTACCCGACTTGTCACCAACTTCTCTTATCTTAAATATTGTATAACAAAAATTATATCCATAGCATCACCAAAATCTAAAATTCTCTCCCCTTCTGGACATCTCGTGTCATAACTAAAACCTTCATGTACTCCCTCATAACACTCACAACTCGCTCCCACATGTCCATTCGAATCACCAGCGAGGATAATGCACTCTTCATTTGCCAGTCTCGATATCATCTCCAATAGACTGTCCCAAATTGTATTTTCTCTTACTTCTTCCAACCTGTGGAACAAATACCGAGATAATATTACATAACCTTCTACCATAGATCATCTTGATAATCATTATCCGGTTTTTCTTATTTCTATTACTTTGTCCACGCATTTTTCTGCAACTAATATGCCAAAGCCGTTACCATCATTACCAGAAAAATTTTTACTTTTCATTTGTTCTGCCAATCATTCTTGCACCATTATCTTTCCATCTGGTCTCTTGTATGCAACAAACAACTATATGCCTTCTATGCCGTGCATCGACTACTTCTGCTCTTCCCGTCATGCTCCCTACTTTCCACGTCGTAACTCTTACCCTATTCCTCATTAACCAGTTTCTCCACTTATATCAGGGCGTTTATAGTCGTCATATCTTTTTGTCGTAGGCGGACGAGGAGCTCCATGGGGTACTTTGGGCGGTACCCCGCCCATATACCTTGCCACGATGAGGCTGATTGTATAATTTTGTGAGATATATAAAATAAATTATATAACCTTGATTCTTTTTTTTCCGGTCATGGGTTACTTTATTTGAATATTTACTGATATGATATGTTGTCAAAATGTAGTAGCAAATAATTAATTTTTTAAAATGGAAAAATATAAAGGTGAAAAATGTAGAAATAGAATTTATGATAAAGGATAGGGGATAAAAAAAAAGGAAGTTTAGAATATGGAAGGTTATTCAATGGAAGAGATGAAGCTTATATAATTAGAGCGGATGATGGCGGTAGCAAGTCTTTGGCGTAAGAATAGGGATTCCTTAGGCTGATCGGTTTTTTCGCGGATCCGTTTGCCTAATTCTTTGAAAAAACGTTGAGCTTTGCTACCGAAGGTGGTGAGAATGTAACAGGCTATGGGTATGAATAGGAAAGAAGGGTTTAAGGAACTTTACTTTATGGTTTTCCGAGATTCTGCGAGGGCGAGGGCGAGGGCATCGACGTTATGGTTTGATGGTGCATTTGGGTCAATGCAGGTGAAGTCCCAAACCAGGAGCTGACCCCTTAACCAAGGAATCAAGGATATTCCATCAGGACGTTTCCCATCGGTTCTAAAAATTCCGGTTGGTTCAAGCCTAGATGGAATGCCTCTTGATTTGAGGGCGCGTAATATGATGTCATTGCATTTGGTGTGCCGTGAAAAACGGCCACGACAAAAGTGACAATGGAGGCAGTGCCTGCCCTAGCGGTCGACGCTGGTTTCGCAATGTTTGCATTGGTACGGAAGAACAATTTCGCAATTGAGCCGTAGTCCAATAGCAAATCTTAGCTCGTCAGCGGAGAGCAACAAATCGAGGTTGTTGGAGGGCATGGTTTCCAGAAACTCGTAACCGGATCCTAGGTTCAATTGGTGAAAAACTGTGAGATCGTCGTCGTGAGGTTCGATTTTACGTAAGCGACGGAGCCTTCGTTGAGTGGAATATCCCAGTCTCTCTGTAAACATGAGGAGCGTGGAGTATTTGGGACAACGGAATTATCCCAAATTGTCTGGGCTTCGGCTAATAAGAGGTCAGGGAAGTTAGAAAGCTGGCTAATGTGTGAGTCTGATGAAGGGCGAGAGGCGATGAAACCACTGATGGAAAGAGTAAGAGGTGAGCTTAAGCCGATACCCCCGAGCTTGCATGGAAGTGATGCTTGTAACCATGAATTATGGTTAAAGCGGAGATTAAGGATCTCTTCAGCGAGAGATTTGAGATTTCAAATGATTTTAATGAGTTGGGAAATTTGAAAATTGAGGTGGATCTAAGGGCATAGAGAATTTTAGGAATGTAGTAAAAGTTTTTGAGGAGAAAAAAAGCTTGATGGGGAGGGAGAAACTTAGAGATGTTTTTGCGTTAGTGAAGAAGTGATTGATGGATTCCAGACCACCGACTGGAGAGCCGAGTGACTGAGGGATGAGAGTTCAGTTGTGTGGAAGTTGTGGGCGAATAGCAATGAAATGGGCAGATCTCAGTTTTTTGTTCATTGAGTGAGAGACCGATAGCATGGGTATGTGTTTTGATGATGGTGAATGCCTTAGCAACCTCGTTAGGGGGACCGCAAAGTATTCCGTCGTCGATGTACCAAGTATGCAGTGGAAGATTGCAGTTGGAAGAAATGTTTTTGACCTTTCGTTGATTCCAATGCATAAAAGTATCGAGCCCAGAGGATCGCCTTGTTGGATCCCTTCTGATGATAAAAGTAAATAGTTGTTGAATTTGAGATGAGATGGCATGGAATAGCAGGAATGGAAGAATTGAGAAAAGGTGGGGAATGAGTGGTATATTTGTGGGAGAAAGTGAGAGCGGCGAATGGGTTGGTTTGGAGTTGGATACGAGTAGCGTGTGTGGCTATTTCGCAGCCACCTTGGATGCCGATTCCTAGTTTATGAGGTGCTAAGATTAAGGCTGCGTTGTCCTTAATTTTGTAAGATATAAGTTTAGCGACAAGACGGCGGAATACGGTCCCAATTGCTATTGGGCGGATATCCTTATTGGGTTTTTCGAGTGCGATTAGTTCAGCACCGAATAAAAGTGGTCTGATGGACTCGAGAACGAGTCCGTGTGCTATTTTGTTACAAAATGTTGTTAAATTTTGTAAAATTGGGACCTGGCTGACTATGAGGATGTAAGATCCTGGAGGAAGATGGGACGAAGCCCATCGTAGCCGGGAGAAGAGTCGTGATGGAAGGATAGAATAGATTTACTCGCCTCGGCGCGGGTGAAATCAGTAGGAAAAATATTGGGAGGAGGGGGAGGTATGATATCAACTCCGGAGGGGTGTTTTAATTTGAGTTTGTTGAAACTTTCTTCGTTACTAGTAGCAAATGAATCATCAGATGCTACTAAGTGAAGGGCGAATTTGATGGAATCCTTAAAATTAGGCTTTTCAAAAAATAAATCAAAATATTATATTTGGGCTATATTGTAGAGAGCTAGTTCGTGTACTAAAGAAATTTTATTAGAATTGCAAAGCATAATTTAAAAAAAATCATATTTAAAGTTTGATTGGAAATCAAACTATGCTTTCTTAGCTACTATATCAAACCTATATTTTAAGTTTTGATGGGTTGAATCAATAGCTAAACAAGTTGATTTAAATCATTAATTGAAGCTGTTTAAATAAACACTTCTATAAATCGAAATTTCCCGAGATAAAACAGTCACGATAATTTCTTTTAATTTGATAGTTTTATTTCTACCCCATGATATTGAACCTTAAGTGCTATAATTGGTTAGAATCCAACGATAAAAAGTTTTTTTGAAGTATAAGACATTATTATCTTCATCAGCACCGGTAGAAAGACTATTTACCTTTGCAACTTTGCTAAATAAGTATAATAGAACCCTTTAAATAACGTATTTGAAAAATTGATATTATAAAATAAAATTGAACATTTTTTTTGAATATTAAAAATATATTGATTATCATTTGTTTTTTTGAAGCTATAAAAAGTGCTTCAAATATAAATGCCCATAATAACTTATTTAGACATCATAAATGATATTCCATCTTGTAACACAGAACTTGATTGCATTTCTTAATATAATATAATGTTTATAATAATTTATATGCAAATGTCTTACATATTGTAATATTGATCGAAAACCATATTTTTCAAAAATAAAAAAATTATAATTAAATATAAAATATTATTATAATTATATATGCTATTTAATAAATTTCACTTTTTTTTATCATGTTATTAGTTATTATAATTAGTTACAAAAATTTGGTAAGAATTGTAATAAGGAATTACAATTTTTGTAATTATACCCATCCCTGCTATAATTCAAAATTTTTATAAAAATAGCATTTTTATAAAAAATTGTGAAACCCCCAAAATTATTTTTATAAAAATATAACATATCCAAGTCTACAATAACTGGGCCTAAAAAACTCCAATAAAATTTATGACGGAAAAACCTATATTTTGAAAAAGTCGGACGATCGGTATGTATTGATATCGGGCCTATCCGATTTTTCTCGAAAATCACCAATAGTTGCCGATTCCATATATTGGACATCCCTAATAAAACAAATATTTACACTAGTAAAATTATATCTATTAACAAAGTATGTAAATTATAAAAATAATGAAAATCTAATAAAATCCAAATATAATTAAATAATTTTACAGATACATTTAAAATCTACCTTATTATTTCAAAAATTTCTCATTTACCCTAAGATGGTTAAGTGTTAATAATAGCAAAACTAAATAACAACTCAACAGGCGAGGAAAATTGTAAAATGCAATGTTTTCTTATATTTCCATAATTAGTAAACATTATTCGATGTACTTGAGTCAGATGCGTAATCTGGAGTGGGATCATCCCATCGAAATTTTGCCCCTTCTCTTATATATCATTTTAAGTTGAAAAATTCCCCACCCCTTCTTTTCCAAAAATATATATAATATATCACTATAAGAAAGAATTTGAAAGAAAAATTAGTAAAATTTAATCGCTTTTTAAAATAACTACTATAATTCAAAATTCTTAGAAAAAAAGCATTTTTATAATATAAGTGAAAACTCAAAATTATTTTTATAAAAATATAAAATATCCAACGACAATAAGTAGCAGAAAATTCAGCCTAAGAGTGTTCCTTTTACAGGAAGATCCTGGATTCGTCAATGACTTGGGTTATTTTTTTTAAAAACAGTAATCTTCCATATTTAAATAATAAGGACATTTGTACTTATTTTAGTTTAGTATCTATATTTTGTTTTGTGTGTATTCATAAATGCATCAATTATTTATTTAACTTTAATCGCGGTAAAAAAACACAAATCATAATGTATGCTTATATCTTCCTTTTTTTTATAATTTACATAATCTAATATAGATGGAAAATCAAATTATGAGACTCTCCAAGGTTTGCCAAGAGTTGAGGCGAAAAAATCAAACTCTCCAAAAGCACCTTAGAATATTGATAGATGACAAGACCGACCAGCAATTAGAACTTCAGGATAAAGATCACCAGTTGGTGGAATTGAAAGAAAAATTGACTACTTTCGATCCCAATATAGGATCTTTGTTTGATAACGGATCTAACATAATGACTCAAGTAATAGGACACCTTTTGTTTAAACAAGGTTTTCCATGGTTGTTCAGCATAGGCCCATATTATGAGCACAAAATATGTTAAACATTTTTTATATTTTATCGTCGTTTCAATTATAACATAAATAAAATATATAAAATGTCAAAACCCTTCCTTTCTTACGAAAGTTCATTATAAGAAGAGAATTTTTTAAAATTTAATTTATTATACAATAAAAAGGAAGATTTTATAACTTCCAAATATAATTAACTTTTTTTTAAAAAAACTATATTTTGACAATGAAATAAATACTCTATTATTTTAGGTGATATATATTTTTTGGGGAAAGAATTCAAGAGTGAAGGTTGACGTTTAAAAATATCATTTAATTTTCCTTTTCTAAATGACAATTAAAATATCTTCCACAATCACTAATAATCTTAAGGGCACCTTTAATATTTCGATTGATTTATCTTTTTTGATTTAAAATTTTGGATAATACTTTTTTTTCTTTAATTTAAATAGTTATTTAAATATTCTCAATCATCAAAATAATTCTTAAATAAAATTATGTGCTCCTGAAGTACATTATAAATAATTACATAATATATTCTAAGTTTCTAATTTATGCTATGAAATGACACATGTGCTATTTTAAATTAATATTTTTTATATCTAAGAAGATTTCTCTTATGCGTTGAGTACAACTTAATGAATATAATTTGTTTTTAATTCTCTTTTAGTACTTTCCAAAAAATATATGGTAGATTCAAAAAGTTGTGATATTTTTCTATAACTAATACAAAGTTTAACAAAAAAAAACTAATTTAATTATATTTAGGAAGTACCAAGTTTTTATTCAATTACATAAATTTTTTTTTTTTTAAATGGACTTTGAAAGAACGATATAAATGGAGGCTAGGGGATTGATATTTTTTGTCTATGATTTTCTAATTAAAATGGGATAAAATATAAAAAAATGTTGCTTACTTATTTTATGCTCTCATAATGTGGGTTTCTGCTCTAAAACAACGTTAAACCCTCAGTTTTTATCACCTTTAAGAAAAAATTTATTTATTTATAATTCAAATTTTTTTCCCCTTTAATTGTTTCTTTATTTGAGTAAATATAACTAATATCATATATTATAAAAAAAATAAAAGTATATAACTATTTTTTTCTAACAAAAAATTTAATAAATGCGATAAATGTAAAAATATAATTTAGGATAATAAAATGATAAAGATATAAAAAAATGTTGTATAAAAAAATACTAAACAGAAGCTAGGATAGAGAAGAAAAGGATGAAAGTATGAGGAGACATGGATGATTATTCGATAGAAGAGATAAGAGATAAAACTTAGATAGTTAGAGCGAGTAATTGTAGTAGCACGTCTTTGTTATAAGGAAAGAGATTTTTTAGACTGATCAGTCTTTTCGTGTATCCTTCTCTCCAATTCCTTAAGAAGCATTAGGCTTTACTGCCGAAAGTGGTAAGAATGGTGCAGGCAATGGGTACGAATGAATAATAAGGATTGATGGAGCTCTATTTGGTGAAGGGTTTATGTAAGGGTGAGAGCATCGACATTGTGGTTGAATGGTGCATTTGGGTCGATGCAGATGAAGTCCCAACCAGAAGCTTTCCCCTTGTCCAAGGAATTAAGGACATTCCATCAGGACGTTTTCCATCGGTTTTAAATATGCCGGTTGGTTCAACGAGAGGGAATGCCTGAGATTACGCAAAATGATGTCGTTGTATTTGATGTGCCTTGGGAAGCGGCTTCGACAAAAGCGCCAATGGAGGCGATGCTTATCCCTTGCTATGCTGGTTTCACAATGTTTGCTGTTTGCATTGGTGAGATAGAAAAATCTCGCAGTCGCGCCGTAATCCAAAAGCAAATTTTAGTTCATTTGCGGAAAGTAGCAAATCAAGATTTTTGGAGGATATGGTTTCCAGAAACTCGTAACCAAATCTTTGGTCAAGTGGTAAAAACTGAGATCGTCAAGGCTCGATTTTATATTAATAGAGCCTTCATTGAGTGGAATATCCCAATCTTTCTGTAAACACGAGGAGGGTCATAGAGTGTTTAGTACTGCGGAATTGTTCCAAATGGTCTGGGCTTCAGCTAACAAGCGGGAAAAGTGATAAACGTAAACCGATAACCCTGAGCTTGCATGGAAGTGATGCTTGTAACCATGAGTTTTGATTAAAGCGGAGATTAAGGATCTCTAATGAATCAGGAAAGTTTGAAAATTGAGGTGGATTGAAGAGTGCAAAGAATTTTAAGAATATAATAAAAGTTTTTTAGAAGAAAAAAAAGCTTAATGAGGAGGGAGATGCTTGGAGATGTTTTTAAAATGAAGTAAGCTAGATAATCATTAGTGAAGAAACAACTGGAGAGCCGAGATGAGTAAGGGACAAATTGGTTGCATGGAAGTTATTAGTGAATGGGATTATTGGACAAATCTCGGTTTTCACTCATTAAGTGAAAGTTGTGTTTTAATGATGGCGAATGCCCTTACGACCTCTTGGGTGGGGGCAAGGAGTATTACTTCATCGATGGACCAGATGTGCAATGAAATATTATAATCGGCGGAAATATTTTCGACCATTTTATTAACGCCTATGCGGAATAGTACGGAAGCCAGAGGATCGCCTTGTTAGATCTGTTCTAATGAGGAAAGTAGATAATTTTTGAATTGGAGATATGATGACAAGCAATAGTAGGAGTAGATAAATTGAGGAAAAGTGGTAAATGAATGGTATATTTGAGTGTTTTGAATAGGATTTTGTTGCTTTGGAGATGATTGATGCCAATACTATGTTGGTAAGGTACTAAAATTAAGGCTGCGGTGTCCTTAATTTTGGAAGATATGAGTTTCTCAACAAGTTAGCAAAATACAGTCCCAATTGCAATTGGTCGAAGGTCCTTATTTGTGCTATTAATTTATCACCTAACAGAAGTGATCTGATGGCTTCGAAAACGAATCCATATGATATTTTATTACAGAATGTTGTTAAATTTTGTAGGATTGGACCTCGGTTATGGTTATATTAGTTGGGAATATGTTTGGTGGAGGAGGCGGTATGAAGTTACCACTAGTAGAGTACTTAATTTAAGTTTGTTGTAGCTTTGTTCATTATTAGTAGCAGGTGAGTCATCAGATACTAGTATGCGGAAGGTGTATTTGATATTTAAATTAGTTATTTTTTAGAAATTATCTTGGCCTTTAATTAGGCTACAAGTTTTTGGTTTTGTGAGAGGTTGCAGTAGTTCTAAGGGAGAGGGGATAAGTTGCGTCTTTGATTTGTTAGATATTTCTGTATCTCTGGGTTGGGAGGTTGGTGAAGGAAAATGAGAAAAGTTTGAGCCAATTGTTAAGAGAGCAAAAGTTATTTAGTAATGATTGAAGTCAGATGGAGAGAGCTTGGCTATTTGTAGTCTGGAACCTTTAGGAATTATAGAGATAATGGGAAGTTTATCGGATTTTAGGGAGTTTTTGATGTCATCATGAATGATAGGTGGGAGGGGAATAAATGTGTCTGATGTGGTAGATATGTGGTCATTATTAGATGATATGGAAGTATCACTATGAGTAAAAAATATAAACAAGACGTTTTAGAAGAAGTTCGCTTTCTGGATTCAGGACATACGATGCCTTTGATTTTGTGTTTAGTTAAAAGGCCTGGTTTGGATATTTTTTTATTTTTTGAAACTTGTGGGAAAGTGTTCCATGATATCTAAGGGGAAGATTATGACTTGAATGAAAGATAAGAACTTAAGAGAAAAGGAAAAATTAAATTATTTCAGTATAGTGAATGGGGATGTGATTTAGTGTAAGTAAACAGAAGTAATTTACAAATAATAAAGAAATTTTTTTTTAATAAAAAATTTTTTATATATAATGTAAAATGGGCATAAATATTATTGGAGTTAGTTGGTGTTTCTTGCTCTATGAAACATAATGATAAAAAAAATCAAAAGATTGTGGAATATAAAATATTAATTTGGATAAATTTAAAAGTATAAAAAAATATTTATATTTTGGTGAGATTTAAAAATATATATTATAAGAAAAATTGTGTAATTTTATTGAATTTTTATTTTTAGAATGAATGGAATTGTGATAGAACAAAAAATTTATGAAATGGCAAATGAAGATTATTATAGTTGGTTGGTGTGTGTTAAAGATTGAGTTTCTTGCTTTATGATATATATTAGTGAGAATAAAAAAAATAAGACATTTGTGGAATAGAAAAATATTCATTTTTGCAGAGATTTATAGTAGTTTTGTTAAAAGCCCAATTCGGGCTGATTTATTAAGATTATAACCAAAATAACATTATGCAAGTTTAAAGATTTTGTTCATAGCTAGCAGAAATGCTTGGACACCTATTTTCAAAATCTAGATGCTTACATAATATTATTTTAGCTAAAATCTTAATCGGACCTTTTTGAAAAATGGACCCAAACCGGGCTTTTTAACAAAACTAATTTCAAGATATATAAGATAAATTGAGAATAAATCTTGGGCAGAAATGAAAAGTATGATTGGTATTATGTTTGATATTTAAAAAAAGAAATATATTTTTTTTTTAAAAAGAAAGGTTAGTTTTGAAAAAAATGTGAGATTGTTTATAAGGTTAAATACTCTTGGAGTACAGAAAAATGAATTTATTGTTCACGTGTTTAAAATTAATGTGAGGATTAAATATGTTTTAAAAATATATTATGGTTAATATCAAATCAATAAAAAGTCGATTTTGTGACTCCCTCAGAATTTTTTACACCACGTACTCGCATTTTACTTCCTTACACCACGTACTCGCATTTTACTTCCTTACACTACTTACTCGCTAATATATGAAGGTTTAAAGAACGAAAAAAATGGTACATTTTGACAAAATGCACTTCATTAGTTTTAAAATATTTCAAATAAAAATAAAGTTAGAGCAATAATGTAAATTTAATTATATAGGTAAAATAGATCTTTAATATGATATAAATGAATGTGATAGAAACCCGGTTAATATTTAAAAACCCGGAAATGGCCATATAAAATTTTTTTCCCTGTAGATGTTACACTGCTTTATATTTGTACAAAATCCTAGACTGGGGTGAACATGCGTCTAGGAGTTATGATCCTTTATATGGTTAAAATTGATCAAATTTAACATAAATATATTTAAATTTAATCAAATACTCTAAAATATTATTGGCGAATAAATATTTTGATATAATTAACTAGTATGCATTAAAAGCATGTTTATCAATCTTATTAAGTTACAATTTATTTAAAAATATATTTGTATCATGAAGGAATCGTTTTAATTATAATTTTATATTAAAATTAAAAAATTTTTATAATATATTTATCTAAGTCATGGTTTATTTTTTAATAAATTTAAATTTTATTTAATATTTAGCCAGTATAAATTATACTAATTCTCATTTATTTTACTTCCACTTGCTACAAAATTAATTTTCTTTTTAGTTGTTCTGGTCAAATTAACAAAATAATTTATTCAATTCGGTAAAAAGTTATATTTTATATTAAGCCAAATTATTAAAATAATTGGTCGATAATTTTAAAATAATTAATATTGATTAACTTTACAATAACCAAAATCTTTTATAGTTTAATTTTAAATATTAGGGATTATGATCAAACCTAAGCATCAAGTTTGGAAACCTTTTCAAGAAGTACGCGATAGTAAATCAGTTAAAGCGGTATGCAGGTTTTGCAAGATATCCTATATTACCCAGGTTGAGTCAAATCAAGCAGCTGTACTATGCGCCCTGTCATAATTAAGGAAAAATTTTATTCATTTCAAAATATCAACCTCGACAAAAATCACACAAATGTGATTTGTAATACTTCTAGCTCTAATGAAGAATTGGGTGAAATTAGTGAGAGTGATTATCAAATTCACAATATTTTGCCTTGTGACTCAGAAGAATTTGATTCCATTATTTGATCAATCTACAAGCAAGGCGATTAAATGTAAATCTCAATCTTATATAACCGGTTTCATAGATAGAATGAATCCCAATGAAAAAATGAACTCGATCAATTGTTTGCAAAGGCTGTATATGCCAGAAATTAACCTTTCCATATCACTAAAAATCCCTACATCCAAGAATTTTTTAAAAATATATGTCCTGTTTACACTTTGCCCAGGCGAAGGCAGCTAGCTGGATATCTTTTAGACAAAGCGACAGGAGATATGGAGGCAAGAGTTTAATAGATAAAGCTCTTCGTTTATCAATTGTATCAGATGGCTGGAGCAACATTAGAAATGAGAGTATTATTAATTTTATGATGATGACGCCTGTTTCAGTATTCTACAAATTTTTAAAAACTGAGGAAGATCGCCATACGGCGGATTAGATTGCCCAGAAATTTAAAAATGTAATCCATGAATTGAATCCCTAAAAGTATATTATTTGATTACTGATAATGCAGCTAACATGAAAGCACCCTGGAGTATTCTAACGTAATTTGTTAATATACAATGTTATGGTTGTGCAGCTCATACATTGCAGTTATTCTTTCACAATTTTGAACGACTTCAGTTACCATATTTCAAAAATTAAAAAAATTGTTAAATTTTTCAAGAATAAACACATACCAGCTGCAGTATTTTCCCGTAATGAGAATCAACATGATGTACCTTCTACATTAAGTACAATTAGCCAAACAAAATGGACATCGTCAATAAAATATAATCAAATACAAATATGTAAGAAAGCTCTGAAAGCATCAGTTGTTGAAGGGCTATATGTGATATTTTTCCCATAGAAATTGCCTATAATATATTAAATGAAATATTTTGTACGAAAAATAAAATTTTTTAATTATACTACAACCTTTAGCTACCTCATTGTTGAAGTGCAAGGGGATAAATGTACATTGGCCCACATAATAAACGAGATGCTTAATTTGAAAAAACACATCATACAATCATGCCATTCTATATTTTCTTCATCTGAAGAAAAAAAAATTAAAGTTATGTTTGAAAAGAGAAAAAATGATCCAATATATGTGCTCACAATGCTCCTTATTTATTGAACCCCCATTTGAAAAGAGAAAAAATGATCTAATATATGTGCTCACAATGCTCCTTATTTATTGAACCCCCAATATCAAGAGGATCATCTTACTAGTACTGAATTTGATGATGCATGTGATATAATACAAGAATTAGGTATATAACAAGGTGGTGTTAATCAAAATATTTTAAGTGATATAATAAATTTCAGAAGTAAAAGCGGCATATTTAATAGCCAAAATATATGGAAAGTGGTAACTTCCATAAGAAGCAATCAGATTTCGGCCTCAAGTTCCCACCTTGCCCATTAAGATAAGTGAAAATATATTGAAGACTTCTACAACAGGAAAATTGGTAAGAGTTTATCTTAACTTAAGATTGATTTTAAATATTAAAGAAAATAATGATATTGAATATGAATAGGAAAAAGACTCTGCCACGGAGTGCGAAACATTAACTATAGAATGAATTAAAAAAATATTATGAAATTTAATATTACATTGATTCATTATAATATATATATACAAAATAAAGTTAATATTGACGTAAAAAACATTTATTTGAATTTGACCGGCCAAATATCGGTAAATTGACCAAATCGTATTGACCGGTTAATTGCACAACCCTGATATATAATATCAATATACAAAATTTAAAAAATTTTTGAGGAGGTGGTGTTGAAACCTTAGGTGATTTGATAGAATTCACCATATATTTAAAAAAAAAATTTATAGGTTATATTAAGATCTTATAATATTAGTTTTGAAAAAATGTATAATATAAAAGTTATTATTTGAAAGATTGAATGCTATTGTACTATATATAAAAGAATTTACTGCATTAATTTTAATGTGTAAATAAATGTTTTTAAAAAATATATAAAATATATACATCAGGTAATTTCTAGTATATAAAAAAGAAAGATGGCGATTTATAGTGAATGGGCAAAGCCAGTTGATATTTAAAGGATCTTTTACATCAGTCTTTCTGAGGTTTGGTTGATTTGAGAATAAGTTGTTATGATAAATAAGAAATGTTCTTCAGACATGTTTTTTTTGTGTATGATTTTGTTATGTATTGGTGATGAGTTTTGGAACACCTGTTTGGTCTGCTTGAGTCTTGCATTATTTTCTGAGATGGAATTATTAAGTTCCATCAGATTTTGATAGAATTGAATAAAATTTTCAATGGCAAAAATGTTTGATTTAGGTGATCGTTCTTTGAATGTGTATTTTTGAGGGTTGATAAGTTTGAAATTTATATTATATATCCTGTATATTTCCAATTGTTTGAGGTTTCATTGTTGAGATATTAAGGATTAAATGCACTTCTTAATGTTTGGTTTTTAGAGCATCAATTTGAGGTTTGGTTTGCTTGAGACTAGCATATTCTTTCAGAGATAAATAAATAAGTTCAATCTGGATTTTGAAAGAAGTGCATATTGTGAATGATAAAAATGTTCGATTTATGATTGTTTTTTAATGTATTTTTGAGAATTGGTTGGTTTGAGGTTTAGATAATTTGCAATATCTGCTAATCTTTGATTCGGATTAAATATCAATGTAATTACAATTCTTATATTGTTTTTAAGGAAAAGTTACTCAAAATATTATTTCACTTACATAATAATATCTTACATTTTCTTTTATTAAATTTAGAAGCCTAGGAGGGATATTTAATAGACTTGGTAATAACATTTTTTATTAATAAAAAACTAGAGTTTATTTAGTAATGCTTCTGATATGAGCGATGATAATAGTCCCAAATTTACCATGACAGAACTTAAAGAGGTTCTCAAGGAGAAGAATGAGCTTAAAGCTCGACTCATGGAATTGGAGGAAGAATTAGCCCTGTACAAACCCAAGTTATTTCCTTTTAATCATTATTAAATAGGATACTTGTTGAGTAAATAAAACGAAAACTAAGAAGAGCTATTATTTATAATGTTAACGATATTAAAATTAATTCAGGTCTAAATACGACGATGAAAATGACGAAAACGAGGAACCAGTCGTACAAGGCCCCATAAATAGAGAACCCGAGGAGAAATTGTACCCCTGGAAATATTCCAAATCACGTCGAAATCAACCCTACGGCATAAGGCGATTGTAAAATTATATTTTATTTATTCATATTTATTTTTTCTCTGTTACCTCTGTTGAAAGGCAAGTTTTTTCGGCAACAAATTTAGAATTGATATATTATGTAAAAATATAAAATATGAGTAACATGTTCTTATCAGGCATAAAATAGCCAAAAATGTTATCTAATCTTGAAATAATTTTATTAAATAAAAATTATTTATTTAAGATATTTGGCTCATGTGTTTTTTTTTTATAATATCACAGAGAGCTTGAACTAGTTTCCATTGAAAAAAAAATCACTAAATAAACCATTTTTATAAATATTTTAAAAATTTTTAGAGCCCTAAAATAATAATTGTCCATACGTTTTTCAACGTTTTATTAATTAAGTTTTTAAAGAATATATATATTTGTATATGTTAGCGGCAATGTGAGGTAGTGGTAGGCAATGTAAATGTGAGATTTCGGCAATGTGTTATTTTTGTAATATTATATTATTAATAATTTTGTTTTTATTATTAATAATTTTTTTAAGATTAAAATTTTATTTGATAATTTATATTATTTTTTTAGATATAATAATATGTTTTTTAAATATATTATTTGATTGATATTTTTTTTTTATATTATTGAAAAATATTATAATATATTTTAATTTGTTTATTAATTTTTTATATATTTTTTGATTGATATTTTTTATTATAATGGTTTTTTATGTTTTTATTATAATGGTTTTTTATGTATTTATTTTTCAGGTAAATTTTTTCTTGATATATTTTTTGACTAAATATTTTTTTTATTTTTTGTGTTATATTATTTTTTTAAATATATTTTTTGATTGATATTTTTTTTTAAATAATTTTAGATAATATATTTTAATTTGTTATATTATTTTTTTATATATTTTTTGATTGATATTTTTTAATATAATGGTTTTTTATGGGTAGGTCTAAAAGTCGAAAGGCTGCATGATACGAAAGGCTAAAAAATAATATTGAAAATAAAAATAACAAAGAAAATGATTAATGTGTAATTTGATTAATATATTAAAAAAATGGAAATTTTAAGATCTTTTCAATTTTTTTATTAATTCTTTGAAATAAATTGCGGTTTTAATTTTATTTAATTTTATTAATTTTTAATTTATATTTTTAATTAAATTATATTTATTTATTTAAAAAAAATGGAATATAATATATAAAAAAAAAATTTTAAGATCTTTTCAACTTTTTTATTAATTCTTTGAAATAAATTGCGGTTTTATTTTTATTTAATTTTTTATTTTTAATTAAATTATATTTGGTTATTTTAAAAAAATGGATTATAATATTTCAATTTTTTTATTAATTCTTTGAAATAAATTGCGATTATAATTTTATTTAATTTCATTAATTTTAATTTATAATTTTAATTAAATTATATTTGGTTATTTTAAAATAATGGAATTTTTAAAATTATATGTATATTCTATTTAAGTTTTTTTTCAAAACTAAATTGATAGTAAGTATAACGATATTGTGAGTACTGGATTAGGGAAAAGGCTAACATCTTATATGCAATTTTGAATATTTTTATATCATTCTACTCAGAATTAAATTTCCTATCCAATTATGCTTAGATGTATTTTTTTACGTTTCCGGTTCAAAAAATAACATTTTTGTCGCGAAAACGTTCGAAGGGAAAAGGCTAACATCTTTAGTTTAATTTTATAAATTTTTATATCATTGAACTCAGAATTAAATTTCCTATCTAAATATGGTTTGATGTAATTTTTTACGTTATCGGTTCAAAAAATAAATTAAAAAAATTTTTTTGTGGTAAAAACGTTGGAAGGGAAAAGGCTAACATCTTATATGCAATTTTGAATATTTTTATATCATTGAACTCAGAATTAAATTTCCTATCTAAATATGCTTTGATGTATTTTTTAACGTTATCGGTTCAAAAAATAAATTTTAATAATTTTTTTGTGGTAAAAACGTTGGAAGGGAAAAGGCTAACATCTTATATGCAATTTTGAATATTTTTATATCATTCTACTCAGAATTAAATTTCCTATCCAATTATGCTTAGATGTATTTTTTTACGTTTGCGGTTCAAAAAATAACATTTTTGTCGCTAAAACGTTCGAAGGGAAAAGGCTAACATCTTAAGTTTAATTTTATAAATTTTTATATCATTGAACTCAGAATTAAATTTCCTATCTAAATATCTTTGATGTATTTTTTTACGTTATCGGTTCAAAAAATAAATTTTAATAATTTTTTTGTGGTAAAAACGTTGGAAGGGAAAAGGCTAACATCTTATATGCAATTTTGAATATTTTTATATCATTCTACTCAGAATTAAATTTCCTATCCAATTATGCTTAGATGTATTTTTTTACCCCTCCGGTTCAAAAAATAACATTTTTGTCGCGAAAACGTTCGAAGGGAAAAGGCTAACATCTTAAGTTTAATTTTATAAATTTTTATATCATTGAACTCAGAATTAAATTTTCTATCTAAATATCTTTGATGTATTTTTTTACGTCATCGGTTCAAAAAATAAATTTTAATAATTTTTTTGTGGTAAAAACGTTGGAAGGGAAAAGGCTAACATCTTAAACGCAATTTTAGGTATTTTTATATAGTTCTACTCAGAATTAAATTTCCTCTCCAATTATGCTTAGATGTATTTTTTTACGTTACCGGTTCAAAAAATGATATTTTTGTCGCGAAAATGTTCGAAGGGAAAAGGCTTACATCTTAAGTTTAATTTTATAAATTTTTATATCATTGAACTCAGAATTAAATTTCCTATCTAAATATGCTTTGATGTAATTTTTTACGTTATCGGTTCAAAAAATAAATTTTAATAATTTTTTTGTGGTAAAAACGTTGGAAGGGAAAAGGCTAACATCTTAAACGCAATTTTGAATATTTTTATATCATTCTACTCAGAATTAAATTTCCTATCCAATTATGTTTAGATGTATTTTTTTACGCTTCCGGTTCAAAAAATGATATTTTTGTCGCGAAAATGTTCGAAGGGAAAAGGCTAACATCTTAAGTTTAATTTTATAAATTTTTATATCATTGAACTCAGAATTAAATTTCCTATCTAAATATGCTTTGATGTAATTTTTTACGTTATCGGTTCAAAAAATAAATTTTAAAAATTTTTTTGTGGTAAAAACGTTGGAAGGGAAAAGGCTAACATCTTAAACGCAATTTTAGGTATTTTTATATCATTCTACTCCGAATTAAATTTCCTCTCCAATTATGCTTAGATGTATTTTTTTACGTTACCGGTTCAAAAAATGATATTTTTGTCGCGAAAATGTTCGAAGGGAAAAGGCTAACATCTTAAGTTTAATTTTATAAATTTTTATATCATTGAACTCAGAATTAAATTTCCTATTGAAATATGCTTTGATGTATTTTTTTACGTTATCGGTTCAAAAAATAAATTTTAAAAATTTTTTTGTGGTAAAAACGTTCGAAGGGAAAAGGCTAACATCTTAAACGCAATTTTGAATATTTTTATATCATTCTACTCAGAATTAAATTTTCTATTGAAATATGCTTTGATGTATTTTTTTACGTTATCGGTTCAAAAAATAAATTTTTTTGGTAAAAACGTTGGAAGGGAAAAGGCTAACATTTTAAACGCAATTTTAGGTATTTTTATATCATTCTACTCAGAATTAAATTTCCTATCCAAATATGCTTAGATTTTCGCGACAAAAATGTTATTTTTTGAACCGTAAACGTAAAAAAATACATCTAAGCATAATTGGATAGGAAATTTAATTCTGAGTAGAATGATATAAAAATATTCAAAATTGCGTTTAAGATGTTAGCCTTTTCCCTTCCAACGTTTTTACCACAAAAAAATTTTTAAAATTTATTTTTTGAACCGATAACGTAAAAAAATACATCAAAGCATATTTCAATAGGAAATTTAATTCTGAGTTCAATGATATTAAAATTTATAAAATTAAACTTAAGATGTTAGCCTTTTCCCTGCGAACATTTTCGCGACAAAAATATTATTTTTTGAACCGGTAACGTAAAAAAATACATCTAAGCATAATTGGAGAGGAAATTTAATTCTGAATAGAATGATATAAAAATACCTAAAATTGCGTTTAAGATGTTAGCCTTTTCCCTTCCAACGTTTTTACCACAAAAAATTTATTAAAATTTATTTTTTGAACCGATAGCGTAAAAAAATACATTAAAGCATATTTCAGTAGGAAATTTAATTCTGAGTTCAATGATATAAAAATTTATAAAATTAAACTTAAGATGTTAGCCTTTTCCCTTCGAACGTTTTTACCACAGAAAAATTTTTAAAATTTATTTTTTGAACCGATAACGTAAAAAATTACATCAAAGCATATTTAGATAGGAAATTTTATTCTGAGTTCAATGATATAAAAATTTATAAAATTAAACTAAAGATGTTAGCCTTTTCCCTTCGAACATTTTCGCGACAAAAATATTATTTTTTGAACCGTAGGGGTAAAAAAATACATCTAAGCATAATTGGATAGGAAATTTAATTCTGAGTAGAATGATATAAAGATACTTAAAATCACGTTTAAGATGTTAGCCTTTTCCCTAATCCAGTACTCACAATATCGTTATACTTACTATCAATTTAGTTTTGAAAAAAAACTTAAATAGAATATACATATAATTTTAAAAATTACATTATTTTAAAATAACCAAATATAATTTAATTAAAAATATAAATTAAAAATTAATGAAATTAAATAAAATTATAATCGCAATTTATTTCAAAGAATTAATAAAAAAATTGAAATATTATAATCCATTTTTTTAAAATAACCAAATATAATTTAATTAAAAATAAAAATTAAAAATTAATAAAATTAAAACAGCAATTTATTTCAAAGAATTAATAAAAAAATTGAAAAGATCTTAAAATTTCCATTTTTTTAATATATTATAATGTAATGTTATTATAATATTTTTCTCGTAAAATAGCAATAAATCAATCAAATTACACATTAA